TAGAGGCTAATTTAATTTAATTCAGGGGGGTTCGGTGCCTCTGAGGGGGAGGAAAGAACAGGAACTGTACATATTCACTGCTTTTCCCCTAAACGCCACCATTTTCTTATTTAACTATGTTTTTGAAAACACAAATGTATGATTTGTAAAAATTAAAGACTGCTGTTTTATTCTCAGGTCCGAGTCTCTGACTCTGATTTGATTTGATGTGAACTCTGAGCTGGGCATCACAGAACTACTTAATCTTGATTTATTATGAAAACAGGACGGCGTGGACTCATTTACATCCGTTTGTTGACTGGACGGGACTCCGGTTGGTCTCTCAACAACAAAAAAAGGAAGAAGTTAAGCCACATTTTCACTTTTTATGTCCTCATCTGACATTTCCTCCATGTGAGCTTTCCATAAGTCCGACAAATCAAAGCTGCTCTGAGAAAAAAAACTCACCCCTTTTGAAGCCGTCCGGTCGTTTTTTGGATCTTTGATCGAGCGTATTCACATGTGATTTTTTTAAACAATGAGTTTGATTCTGTTCAGTGATTCGTACAGTACATAAGTAAAAAAACAGACAGTGGGACGTCACAGCTCGTTGTGCTGGAGACCCTGTCGGGAGATCTTGTTGGACAGGTCCTGCATGTGTTTCTTCATCTGGAATCACATCAGGAAAACATCACATGTGAGCACTGGGATCATTTAAAGGCTTCTGTAAAGGAGCTGAACACACACAGGTTAAGAGTTGAGCTGTTTTCTTTGGTTTTATAAAGACACTTGGTTTAACATCTGCCAGACGCTGATTTCTGGGTCATCTTGAGACAAATTTACTACAAAAATAAAACTACTAATAAACTATTAGAAACTACTAAATCCTGAATTTTGACAGGTTAGTGTCTTTGGTTTCAAACTAACCTGTTACTGATGTTAGGGTGGCCCACATTAATGAACCTAACCCTAACCCTAACACTGACCCTTCATAAGTGTGAAAAATAAATATTTTTTGGTTAAACTTGTTTGGACTTATTGTACAAACCTATTTAACATCCACTATTTTAACATAATATTATGGATAGAGTTTAATTCAGTGTTTGCAAGATTAATTTAAATATTAATGTCTATATTGCCATGAAGCAATAAGGATTTTCTTGCCTGGGATCTTCCTATTGGTGACCTAATCAAAATAGCCGACTCGATTAATGTGGGCGTGTTATTATTAGCCATTAGCCGCAGCTAGCAATTCAAGGCTAACGTCATGTTAACGATCATAAAGAACGTAAATAAATAAATTAATCAGAGAGAAAGGGGGGTATCGATACTTTAGAAAATGAGTATCGTATCTGGATACAACGTTTTAGTATCGATACTTTTGACAACCCTACCTTTAACAAGTAAAAACACCATATTTTGTGTGAATGACCAAACATCTTTGAGTTTTCCCCGCTCACCTTGTATCCCATCTCCCGGGTTTTCTCGGCCAGTGAGTCGTATTTCTGCTGGTTCCTCCGGATGTGCTCTTCGTCCCCCAGAGTTTCCACGTGCTGCAGCTTCTGGTGGGACAGCTCCAGCTGCTCCTGGTAGTGGCTGTGCTTCTCCACCTTGGTCTCAAAGTGGTGCAGCTCCTCCTGGTGTAGGATTTTTATTTATTAATTTATTTATTTGACAGGGACAGTACAATTAAACATTGCAACCAAACAGGTGGCCGATGTCCAAGTGCATAAGGCTTGTAGCCGTGGGCTAATTTGCAGCCTTCGTCCCTGGTTAAGCTTTTAAAAGGTGTTAGCATTAAGGGGGAGGGGGTTAGTAACGACACACAGATGCATAAGAAACAAGAGAAGTTAAAACAAAAAAAAAACAAAAAAAGGAGGCAAACAGAACAGAGCTCGGCTTATGTTTAACACAGTTTGAATCATCAACAGAGAGGAA